CCTGAAGCCTCTGTGATTTAGGGAGGAGATCTTAAATAATTAAAAGGCCAAGTCCTCAGATGTAGCCCATCTGTATTGAATTGAATTATCACATATTTAAAGGTCCAGTGTGAATATTTCTGGGATTATTGACAGAAAAGCAATATATATCCATAACTATGTGTCAGTGGTGTATAACCTTACACAATAAACTTTATATTTTTATTACCTTAGAATGACTCATTTATCTACATAACTGTGGGTCCCCCCTTACAAGGACGTCGCCGTATGTGCCGTCATGTGAGCTCGTTTCATCATCATCATTCTTCTTCTTAGCTCATCACTACGTTGAATATGTACGTTCAAAGAAGAAGAAGTAATAAGAAACAATTTTCATGCATTAGATGGTGGGTGAGAATATAAGCCATAATATTTGAGACTGTTGTCATGGTGTTCGGTTAGCTAAGTTGATAAAGTGCAGGACTCTCAACTAGAAGGTTGTGAGACTGATTACATAGCGACATGCAGCGACAGTTTCTCATGCTGACATTACAGCATTACAGCTGCAGTGTTTCAGTGTTTGATCCGCATCCATTAACCTACGGACGCTTTACGGGCTCTTCAAGAGGTCAAGCAGGCTACAGACTCTTTTTAATGTTTAGAATTTTTCAAAGCTCAGTTCAACTCGAAGTAAAGCACTGATGCAAAAAACATTCTTGCGCTTTTTTTTTGAAGGCTAAAGCACTTGAGGAAGTGATTATGTGACTAACTGTTGCTGTCATGACTGAAATCTAAATCGTCAAACATTTATTTTTATTTTTTGCTGCTATCAAAGCACCATAATCTGACTGCGCGCCAGATATTATTGCTGGCAGGCAAAAATAAACTTAATCTATTATGCGGTTATATGGTTTGCAATTTGCAACCTCACACAAAATCTTACACACTGAACCTTTAACATGATTTAATTATGTTATGCTTTATTAAATGTAAAATCGCCCTGGCCTCCAGCCACTGTGAGGAATCTTGGAGTTATCTTTGGACATGTTGTTTAAGTCTCACATTAAGCAAATTTCAAGGACCGCCTTTTTCACCTACATAATATTACGAAAATCAGGAACATCCTGTCTAAAAATGATGCAGAAAAACTAGTCCATGCATTTGTTACTTCTAGGCTGGATTACTGCAATTCCTTATTATCAGGCTGCTCGAAAAAGTCCATTAAGACTCTTCAGCTGATCCAGAATGCTGCAGCACGTGTTCTGACAGGAACCAGGAAAAGAGATCATATTTTTCCTGTTTTAGCTTCTCTGCATTGGCTTCCAGTAAAATCCAGAATAGAATTTAAAATCATTCTTCTTACCTACAAAGCTCTTAATGGTCAGGCACCATCTTATCTTAAAGAGCTCATAGTACCTTACTACCCCACCAGAGCACTGCGCTCCCAGAATGCAGGGTTACTTGTGGTTCCTAGAGTCTCCAAAGTAAACTAGGAGCCAGAGCGTTCAGCTATCAAGCTCCTCTCCTGTGGAACCAGGTTCCAGTTTGGGTTCAGGAGGCAGACACCATCTCCACATTTAAGAGTAGGCTTAAGACTTTCCTCTTTGATAAAGCTTATAGTTAGGGCTGGCTCAGGTAGTCCTGAACCATCCCTTAGTTATGCTGCTATAGGCCTAGACTGCCGGGGGGGTTCCCATGATGCACTGAGCTCCTCTCTCCACCTCTTGTATTATCATTATATACAATATTAGTAAAATTATCACAACATTATTCATTTCCTGTCTGAACCACAACCAATTTTACAGATTATGTAGTTCTATGTGGACATTGTGTTGCATCAGCCCTTCGCCCTCTCTCACTCTCTTTTGCTATCCAACGCTCTCTCTGGCTCTCTCTCTCTCTCTCTCAACCCCAACTGGTCGCCACCAATGGCCACCAAACCTGAGACACGGTTCCATTCGAGGTCTCTCTACCTCCGAAAAGAGAGTCTTTTCTTGCTTCAGACAACAAGTGTTAATAATAATATAGAGTACAGTCTAGACCTGCTTTATATGAAAAGTGAAATGAGATAACTTTTCTTTTGTTATGAATTGGTGTTACTGTTTCAATGTGAAGTACAGGAAGTGTTTTGAAGTTTGGTGGCAAACCTGTCCTTTGGTTTAACATTTAAGCTTGAATTGGAGTTACTCATTGTCCCTTTAATGGACTAAGACATTGAAAAACGACTGGCATGGTCCTTTAGGTTCAAGTAGTGAGAATGTTTGTTTGATCCACAGACAAACACCTGGCAACTCTTGAGGTGTGCCACAGATCACTAATGTGTTTATTAAACTGCCCATTTTGTGCGAAACCATTTTAAAAGATGTGAATCTATTAAACTCAATTTGTCTCTCTCCAGTGTCCCTTCCTTTCCCGCAAAACCTAATGGAGGTGCAGCAACCGATTGTGGGGAACAGAGAGTGTAACTGTAACTATGGAGTGGGTGCGATCACAGACAATGTGATCTGTGCCGGGTTAACTGCTGGAGGAAAAGGCATCTGTCAGGTGAGCATTTTTACACCTGTATTTGTGTCAGATTTGACCATTTGCAAAGATTCCTTCTCCTAAATGTTTCTCTCCTTTAAGGGGGATGGAGGAGGTCCGCTGGTGAGCAAGCAGGGCGGTCGCTGGATCCAGGCGGGAATCGTGAGTTTTACCAGTAGTAAGGGCTGTGCCCAGCCTAATATCCCATCAGGCTACACCCGGGTGTCCCAGTATCAGTCCTGGATCAACAGCCAGATCACCAGCAACCAGCCAGGCTTCATCACCTTTACCTCCTCTGGGACCGACGGCGACCTCAGCATCAGCTGTCCTGGCCTGCCACCGTCAATACCCCAAGGTACATTTAGCCTTGGAAAGCTTAATATTAGATTTTTCTTCTTCTTCTTCTTCTTCCAGAATGTATGAATGGAGATGTGTTCATTTACTGTTCATCATGAAGTTCATGGCAGCACCATGGTTGTTTATAAAACGACAAAGTTATATATTTGTGGTCACTCTTCGTAAAGAGAAAAAACTTACTTCATGTGTAAAATCAGTGGAGGGGCCCTTTAACTTCTGCTTCATGTTTTTGTGACATTAAGACATCATCAGGGACTGGAGCAATAACAGTAGTAGTAGTATTAATAAAACTCATTAGTATTTTTAGTAATAAGATTAGTAGCAGTAGAATAACATATAGTCATTTCAGCCCATCCTCACTAGAAAAAACGTCCGTATAGGTTTATTATTTAAGCAGCTTTTTATGACTCATATTTATGTATATTGTTAAGCTGTGACCTTTAGTGATTCCTGTCCAGCTGTCATTTGGACATTTTAAACATGTTCTTGGACGTAAACTTTTAAAAATAGTTTCATTATTGTCAGTATTTACTGTAAACCCCGTATTGTTCACTCTGTGTCTTTATTGTCTCTCTCCTCAGTGTGTGGTCAGCCAACACTCAACACCAAGATTGTTGGAGGACAGGTGGCCTCTGCAGGCAGCTGGCCCTGGCAGGCCAGTCTGCAAACCTCTACAGGGTTCCACTTCTGTGGAGGAACCCTCATTAACAATCAATGGGTGATGACTGCTGCTCACTGCTTTGCAAGGTAACTAGTGAGGGTTGGGTTGCGACAAAAAACAACATGCCATGCAGTCCTGTAAACAGCCTGTCTAAGGCAGTTGGGTCGAGACCCTAGACCTTTGCAACTTGAATTTAACTGATATTATCATTCATCATCATTCAAGGTGAAAATCTGTGTTGTTTCAAGCTGTCATGACGAGTAGCAAGCAGACAATCCTTCATTTTTGAAGCGTCCCCAGCCAACAAGGTTGGGAAGAACTGTTCTAAGAGGCAGTGGAGAACACTGAGCCATCCTAGTATTGTAATCATAGGTGCGCGGGGGGGCTGAGCTGTATTTTGGGTATCTCTAAAATATTGACAGCATGCTTTATTCCCATTTTCTCTATCATCATGGATCCATGCGTAAAATCAGGAGCTTCAGACTTCATCCAGCCAGAGGGTACAATCACCGACCATCCACAGCGGGCTGGTCGCTCTATTATCTCCTGTCCCTGTCCGCTCCACTGCCCCACTCCCACGGGTTGTGTCGCTAGTACGACAGACACGCTGTGTGCGGTTTGTGATTGTTTCTCTGGCTGGATGAATATTAGGATTAGATCCATGCACTACTGCAGCTGGAGTTCTCCACAGCGCCACGCAACTTTCTAAATTTTTCCCTCTCACAGAGAAAAGAAAGATCAGGTCGCAAACATAGCTGTTGTGTGAAGCGTAGTTGTAGCAAAATGGCTACATATGATAACAACAACTATAATAATAATAATAATAATAAATATTATTAGTAGTATTAGAATACAAACATGCCTGATACTTTCACACTCAGCCCCAGGCCTAAATGCTTACAGCTGCTAATGATTCAGCAGTAAGAATGACGCGGGGGGAAAAAGAGAACCCCCACGAAAGCTATGGTATAGTTTATGGTATATGCTTTGAGAAAGGTTTATTAACACAATAACAAAACATTCAATGCAATCTAAATAAAGAAGAAATGTGCATCCTTCAAAAGAAAAAAACTTTAGCTAAAAAACAAGCTACTAATTACTTCACAATAGTTTATTGTATTTTTTCACCAGCCACCTGAATTTTGTTTCCTTTTACACCAATTGCTGCAGAAAATGTCTCCAGAAAGCTGGAAATAAGGTGTTTGATGCTCATAGTCTTCTGGTGGTGGACCCTTACATCCTTACAAATATTTCAGCATTGAATATGTCTTCAAAATAGCATTAAAATATTTTCTCGTACTGTTCTCATGAACCTAATATTGTGTATCGTCACACCCCTAACCTGCGCCCTTATGTCCCCACCACTTTTCATCACAGTGAGGCCCTTGTAGTTGAATGATTAGAAATTGGCTGCATATTTGAAACAAAAAGTCAACACTGATTATTATAGTTGAAGTAACTATGTACATAAGTGAAGTAAGTGAAGTAATTTATTTTTTAAGTTATTTTTACCCAAACTAAGATGTTTTCCTAAACCTAACCAAATCGTGACATTTCACAACGTTAACCACAAGTTCTATCCTAACCGACATTTGAAATTTATTCTTACTAACTTCTTTTGACATGTAAACTTGGAGATTTCTTTGCCTGGAATAAAACTGATAAGGTAGAATAAGGAAGAAATGAATCCTTAGTTTTCTGGAGGTCGCCACTGCAACATGTGCAAAGAACATGCAATGTACATATGTGCAGACTGTATGGAAAATTATAAGATTAAGGGAACAACTTCTCTAATTAGACATGGTGGTCTCTGCTAAAGAGATCTGGACAACAGTTCTGCTTCCAGTGACTTTGACTGTTTTGTTTGTCTTCTGATTACAGCACAGGCGTAACCACGAGCACTCTGACTGTGTCTCTGGGTCTTCAGAGTCTACAGGGATCAAACCCCAATAAAGTGACTCGGACAGTGTCACAGATCATCATGCATCCCAGCTATAACTCCAACACTAATGACAACGACATCTGCCTCCTGAAGCTCTCCTCACCGGTGGCTTTCACTTCCTACATCCAGCCCGTCTGCCTGGCAGCCCCAGGCAGCACCTACTACAAGGGGACTCTCTCCTGGGCCACCGGCTGGGGCAATGTTGGAACTGGAGGTGGGTCAGAAAGCACCTGGATTACATTTATTTTCAGAGACAGTATAACTACAATGGTGTCAACAACCTGAATTTTCCATGTAAAAATGTAGTTCCTCATTTACCCAGGGGAGCAACAAAACCTTCCTGTAACTAACTGGCTGTGTCCAACGAAGGTTAAAGTCAAGGGGCAGTAGGGATGTCATAATCTGTCTGTGACATTAACAAACACACAGTTTGATGGTGAGTGGAGTAGGACCAACATGGAGGACAGCTCTCCATGTGTCAACAGGAAGGTAGGAGGGGGTATGAGCCCATGCTGCTCTGCACTGATAACTGTGAGACTTTATTAGTACCAGCACAGTGCGTTCAGACACAAACTCCATTAAAAGTCTGTACAGCTGTTAGACTGACAGCTGATCCAGCTGTGATCAGCTGCCGCCGTCATCAGAAACAGACGTCTCTTGACGTCACGTGACGCTTCAGGGGAAAGGGTGTCTCATATCTCTAAAAACATATATCCTCGTTCCTTCTTTCCTGGCACGGTTTGTCATTGCCATATCCGTGCCGTGATCAAGAGCCGTTCTTCACATGTGCAAAAGGCGTCCTGTCGGTCAAAGAAGGTTAAATGTGCCTGTTCATAATTATTCGTGTGTTGTTGTCCGTTCTCTTGTCAGGGCATCAAATACTTACGCTTTATAGCGTTATTTGATGCAAAAGGTACCCTTCGGGATCCTTACGAGACGCCTCTGGGTTCATCTGAATGAAATACCCTTTCCAGGCTGGAAGCGCTAAGTAGGTAGGTAGCTAGCTAGCTATGATAGCACTTAACCCTAACCATCATGGTGTGTGCCTAAACCTAAGTCAGTGATTTTATGCATGTCGACCGGCTAACCTTACAGCTGTGCACAACAGCCGATGTGCTAGCAGCTAGGGTTAGCCTCCTTTGTGTTGCTCACATTGTGAGATTGTTGTCATTATTAAAAATTAAAGATGTACTGTTGAGTAAGGTTTTTAATATATAAAGTATAGATTTAGTTGGATCATTTTGAATAGGCAGATTTGCGGTAACCTTCTTTAACTGACAGATTTTGCGCATGTGAAGAACGGCTCTTGCTGGCAGCACGGATTCTTCACGGTTTTCTTGCTTCTCTTCATGCATCCCGGTGGGCGGGACTTAGGTGTAATTTATACTTCTGCATCAAATCAATGGCGTAGGTGACGGCATTGGTTACGCTACGCAAAGGCTACACTGTTGCCTGACATGCATCCATATCCGTTGAGTTGACGCGGACCGTAAGCACTGTCATTGGTCGGCTTGGTAGCATGGCAATGCCCCCATGCCAACCGGAAGTGCCCTTGCTTTGTAGTAACTTTTACTAGCGGCCAAAACGGCGGCTGTAACACAGTGGATCAATATATTTGAACGTTGCAAAATGACTCGTTTCACTATCAGAATCTATATGGTTGATGACATTTGAAAAGGGTATATGTATACAGTTTTACCCCCATTCAAGTTAGCGGATCGCAAAACCAGAAGTTAGCCTGCTCGGCTTGCAAAAGTCAACACAGTAGACGCTCTAGCGCTACTGCCAAGTAGCGTTTGTTGATGTAATTGCAGAATCGATACACCAATGCACAAGTATAAATGCCTGGTTATGTGCGTAGCCTATGGCTTAGCTACGCATGTAGACCCTACGCAGGAGTATAAATCAAGCATATAACGCAAGGAAAAGACACAAGTAAGGAAAATGTGGATGCAATTAAGAGACATAGGAGGCAGCCAGAGAGTCCACCATGAAGTATAAGTGAGGCATGAGGAGACCATCCGAGCTGATTGGGGACAAGTGTCATCCAACTCTGGCTCTTCTGGGTCAAGGAGCACCATCCAGTGGATGCATCTGAACAGGTTTCATATCCTTGGACAGAGGAGGGTGAGGAGGGGGGCAGAAAGCACATGATACCTGTGGACTGAGGGCTGGCTGGCGTGTTCCGGAAACAGACACGGCCTTCAAGTCCATAATGTACCCCATCTGGCTGGTTGAGCAAAGCCTGATGACTCTCTGCCTCTCCTTCTTTTGCTCTTTAATCTTAGCTCTTTAGATGTTTTTTAGAAGAAAAATGGAAGCAGATTTTTCCAGTCTAACCCCAATTTATAGACAGGATGAGACCATGGTGGTGGCCAGTCACGCAGGTGGGCATGAAAAAACCTCTTTCAGCATTGGTTGTGTGCGCGAGGGATAACGATCAACTAGCGATTGCCTTAGAGGGCAAAGCCTGTACGATATATTAAGTGTCCATTCTGTGTGAAACCATTTGAAATCACATTTCACCACTTGTGTTGTTTACTAAACTGAATTTGTGTCTCTTCAGTGTCCCTTCCATCCCCAGGAAACCTCATGGAGGTGCAGCTGCCGATTGTGGGGAACAGACAGTGTAGCTGTACCTATGGACTGAGCATCATCACCAGCAACAAGATGTGCGCTGGGTTCAGTGCTGGAGGGATGGACACCTGTCAGGTGATCATTTTTACACCTGTGTTTGTGTCCAATTTCACATTTTGCAAAGAATCCTTCTCTAAGATGTTTCTTTCCTTAAAGGGAGATTCAGGAGGTCCGCTGGTGAGCAAGCAGGGTGGTCGCTGGATCCAGGGGGGAATCGTGAGTTTTACCAGTAGTCTGGGTTGTGCCCTGCCTAATTTCCAGTCAGGCTACACCCGAGTGTCCCAGTATCAGTCCTGGATCAACAGCCAGATCACCAGCTTCCAGCCAGGCTACTACACCTACAAGTCCACTGGGACTGACGGTGACCTCAGCGTCACCTGTACACCACCAAAAAACACACCCTAATGTAAGTGCCAGCCCTATCCAGATGATTTGATTTTTTATTTAGAAACCTCTTAGAGAGATTTAAAATGTTTTTCTTTATCATGACCAAAATGCACGACCATGTGCGTGAATGCAAGTTCACTGATGGGGGTCTGTTCTGTGTGAGTATTAGTCACATTGTATCTAGCCACGTCACTCAGGGCGTAATATATCTTGCTCTGTGTGCCTTGCTCTTTTCTCTTTACTCGTACTACAACATCACACACACACACACACACTTGCATCCACACACCTGAATCCAACATCATGTAGTCTAACCTTCAGCTGTGCTCCACGCCAGATAGGTAAAGGGTATCTCCCATTGTGGTCTGCCACACATATCTTGCGTTCCTTTGAACCGTAGGTTGTGCTCCTTTGGAGCATAGGTTGTGCACGTCTCCAGAAATTAAAGCTACTCGTCCGCAAGATGCAGTTCAGCAAATGAACGTGGGGGCAGTATGTCAATCTGACAGGCAGGTCAACAGCAATGTCCTGTTCCACACACCAGCCCAGGTGGTGGCAGTAATGGAGTTGGTTTGCCAACCACCATTAAATGCAAAAGAAGAAGGTCAGCAGTAGACAAAGGAGATTTATGGCGGGATGTTTAGAATACAACTCCTGGAGCTAGTCCGCAATTACTGACATCATTATGATAACATCCTCAAGTGTTGCAATGTTTGGTTTGTTTACCATGTTCAAATTCGGACGATGTCAAGTAAGACAATCCGGTGTTGGCAAGAGATGATCCGGCCTTGATCTCCCCCTAGTGGATTCACGTTTAATCCTCCAGGTACACGCAGAGTACACATGCGCTTCTCCTGGACTCAAACTTGGATTACCTCTGTTTAACAGAACCGTGGCTTCACAGTAACATTCCAACTAATATGATTGACATTGCTGGGCATCAGTGCTTTAGAAAGGACAGAAATACAGGCAAGGGGGGAGGAGTACTAATATACATCAAGGACGAATTTAAATATCACTTAATTGAACTGAACACTCCCCTGGAATGTCTAGCCGTAAATGTAACCCTATCGCCTACTATGAATTTTAATATTGCTGTCTTCTATAATCCACCTTCTCATAATGTTACATTTTATGATGAATTAAATGTTATAGTTAAACAACTGGACTCTTACAGAGAGACAATATGGTATGGAGACTACAATATCAGCTGGTCTGACAAAAACTGTAAACAGAAACTCAAAGCACTTATAACAAAATTCAGCTATCGACAAATGATTGAAGGACCCACAAGGATAACAAGGCAGACTAAGACCCTCATTGACTTGACATTTACTACATTTACAGACCAGAACAAGGACTTATAATTTGATTACTGGACTCTCGGACCACAAAATGACTTTGACTGTTAGGAAACTGACAAAGAAGCGCCTGCAGTACTTTGGTAAACCTGATCATGAAAAAACACAATTCATTATTCCTAAAAGCAAAATTGTGCAATTTGAAAGGGAATTTAAAAACATAAACTGGGAACAAAATATGACATTAGATGATGTAGAGGAGTGTTGTGTGTAATTCCATGACCACAGCTATTACAAGTCTGAATTTACAAAGCAAATAAAATCTAAACAAAAAGAATCCATGGTGCTCTGGATAAATAATGAAAATACGAAAACTCATGAAAAAGCGAGATTTATCTTTGAAAACATCTCTAAGAGCTAAACTTAATACTGATCTCCTGATTTACAGAAGTTTAAGGAATAAAGTTGTATTTGAGCTGTGGAAAGCAAAAGCCACATATTAAACTCAACTAACTGACAGTGCTAAAGGCAAGAATAATTCACTTTGGAAGCATTTAAAAAATCTGACTAACAACTCAAATAAACACAAAAAGATTGCAGAACTTAACATCAATGGCAGTAGTATAACTGATAGTGCCACTATGGCTGATGAATTCAATTCATATTTTGTACAATCAGTTGAAGAATTATCAAAAGATTTCCAGTCCGTCGATTCTCTCAATCATTCATTGAGAGTCACTTCAATAGATTCCTTTTATATTAAAGAGGTGCCGGATACAAAAGTTGCAGAAATAATCAATAAACTTTCAAATTCCAAATCTAATGACATTTTTAGGATGAATATACTGCACTGCTCAGGTGCCAGTTGTCAGGTCTATGCGGATGATGCAGTTCTTTATGAACCTGCTAAGTCACCTGAGCAGGCTGCTGCTGTACTGTCCACCAGTATGTCTGACATCCAACAGTGGCTCATCCAAAATCAGTTACTTCTAAATCTCTCAAAAACAGTCTCCATGTGCTTTTACATTAAAAAACTTGATTTAAAAGAAAGATTTAATATTAATTTACAAAATAAAGACATTCATCCAGTTACAGAATTTAAATATCTAGGATTAGTTTTAGATCCTCAAGAAGAAAATCTCAAAAACAATACAAAGTAATCTCACCTGTTTCAAACTAATCAGAAGCTACATACCAAACCAGGCAGCCGTGCTGTACATGCATGCTATGATTTTTTTTATATATCATACTGCATGACAGCATGGGCACAATGAATTCATTTATGAACTGTGTTATGACTGGCCTACACCAGTCATAACACAGTTCATAAATGAATTCAATTCAAATAAACCGCCCCATCGGAAGAGTCTGAGGACTATAAAATACGAAGTATCACAAGCTGCCCCTCAGTTCCTCTTGAGGCCTGCCAAGATGTAACTGACTTCAAGTTGTTGTTTAATTTATCTAACAGGTGAAGACAAGTTTTGGTCCTAGACCCGAGATGTAATCAACTCTTCTATACTCTGTTACTTCTGTTACATTTGATCATTTGGCCTTTTTCCATAAGCGCATAAGATGACTTCTGCTGACTTTCGCCGACTTGATAGTCAGATGTGAGATACAGGTGACTACAGGGGCATGGTTTAAAACACTGCCTTCAAGTCTGACACATTATTCCTCCCGTAGAGTGTATGAGCTTACTGTGAGCATAGAATAATGATTGATCTTGCAGCAACTGCCTTTGCAAATGCCACAAGTCACGTTACGTTATTACCAGCATGCATCACATTAACCTATTTTCTTGCTTTAAATTTTTAAACATTTAAGGCCTTTCTGGAAATATACTTATTCACTTTAATTAGAACACAAAAGGAGGTATTGTTCATATAGCACATTTTGAGAAACGAAGCAATAAAAAGTTAAGTTCCATTTCAAAAAAAATTGTACTTGAACACATCTGTCCTGTTTGTTTGTTCAGGGTGATCTGGCGGTGAGCAGAGCGGCTCTTGGTTCCAGACGGCAGTGTTGTTAGTTGGAAACAACACCACCTTCCTGGCTCAGACACCAACACCACCAGCAACAACAGCACCAGCACTGCTGCCGGCAACATACCAACTACCAGCGGGGGCGCTCCTGCTCACTCCCTCTTCTTCTTCTTCCATCTCCACATCTTCTCTGTGTGAGAACTTCTGGATGGAAATATCTTTCTCTCTATAATGAAGGGTGTAAAATTAATAAATGAATGACAATGAATTGTTTCACCAGCAATGAACAAATGTAGGTATATGTAGCCTGGCATACGAGCGTGTCAAGATTTTTGAAGGATGTTATGCAAAGACAAAATGATGATTTGTCATTTACATAAAACTTCCCCCTCAAATAACTGAAAACAGGATGGTGTTTAACATTGCAGGTAGAATTAAACTAATGCTGTCAATGGAACAGTCGTTAACAAATGGATTAAAAAACTTTAAGGAGCATATTTTAGAGGTCAGAGGATCACATGCCCATCATCTGCTTATTGGAGCTAGTGTACCTTAATGTACAATGATATCTAAAGTGAACAAGCAGCATTTGCTCTAAAAATACTTCAACTCTACTTTACATTTATAATAATTTAGTTTGAAAGGTTAATGTCAATATTAAGTCTTGTCGAGTTTTGCCATGGTAACAAATGTCCTGTAGATGTGAAAGTGCTGAAATATTAACCCCTTTGATTTATTTTTTTTAATCACAATAACCTGGTTTTTAATTAAGGGAAATCCTTTCTGTCGGCTTTGAGTACATGTATGAACTCAACTCATGCAGTCTAATCTAAATGTCCTGCAGTAAATCCTCCTTCATGATGGTTATAATCTGTTTGTGTTGAAACTGTTTTAGAGATGTATTGATTCAACTGTATGGTCATTCTGGAGGCTGAAGTTGTTTGTTTTTGTTTCCACACTTGTGTATCAAAATAAAAAATTTAACAAATCAAGATACACTCACTTATTTTCTACAGTTTCTGAAGTGAATATGGTGCTAAACACACACACACTCATCAAAAAACGGAACACATAGATAAAATGTCCACATTTGCAAATCAGTATGTGAATTCATGTCTAGAATATTTTATATATTACGTCACTAACTAGAACTGCTTGAATCTGTAGCTACGAGTCTCAAATGCAGTGTTTTCACTCATTTATGACTCACAAAGTTCTGCACGCTCTCTGTTCTAATGCATGTATTACCCCACTTTATTAGTGGGACATTCAGTAATTATTTCATTATAATTTGAAGCACTTATAACTATTATATTATTTATACATATCAATCATAGTCAACCTGTGATACTATATTTGACATGACTCGGGTGTGTTCACAACATAACTGAGCAACCACCACATACTTTCCAGGACATTTTCTCTCACTATCCAGGTGTTCCCCTTCGAGGGAACTCGAACTGCGTCGGTTACGACACTATGGGAACGCCTCTAGGCGAAGCAGGTCTGAACGTGAATGAAATCACTCCAATCCTATTGGCCTGTTGCTAGAACGGTAAGGTGTGACGGAATAACCGGAGGAGTATAAAGCACACCTGTACACACTCATCATTAGCTTTTTTTATTCAGCAGGCGCTCTGTATGTTGTTTGAAGAAAGCTCCAGTCCTACAAGCAGTGTGTCTTACCTGAAGAAGAAGTCTACCAGCATGTCCGGCAACCAGATGTACAGAAGGTGTGTTTTTTCTTGCCCTCGGTACATCACGGATGGAGATTCTCATGAGATGTGTCTCTCATGTTTGGGGATGGAGCACGCACGGGCAGCTCTCGAGGGGGCTGCCTGCGCCCGTTGCGAAGCCCTTTCCGTGCGGGTACTGAGGTACAGCATGGCTCTCTTTTCCGAGGATGGCCGGATGTGTTTTCCCTGTGGTGCGGGCCCTGCGGCCGCTGAGGCGGCCCGGCGGCTTCACTCATGGGTTCACAGCGTGATCTGTCGGAGGATTTCGGGACGGCTGAGGCTTTTTCCCGACCTTCATCCGCTGGCTCCGACGCTTCCTTTCCTCGTTCGGGAGCCCGTTCTCGGCTTCTCCCGCTCGCGGTTTGGATCCGGAGGCGCTGCAGCAATCCGACTCCGAGGAGGCGGACGTGCTCAGCGCAGTCGACGATGACTTCCGGGTGTCGGGGCGGCGTCATCTGGCCGCGCCCGACTATGACGTGCTGCTGGAGGTGGTGACTAGAGCCGTGGCTAAGCTCAACATCAACTGGCCACGGGAGGAGCAGACACCACAGGCTAGTGGTAGCTTGATGAAAGGTTTCTTAAGCACCACACGCCACCTCCACGCCGGTCTCTGCCATTCTTTCCTGATTTACATGATGAACTGAGTAAATCATGGGGCAGACCCTTCTCTACATGGCTTTCCACACCCCGATCACTGAACTACAGTAATGTGATGGGGGTTAGGGACCGTGGTTATGGGAGGATGCCTCGGGTGGAGGATGAGCTTGCGAGCTATCTCTCCCCTCGACTTGCGTCCTCCCTGGAGAAGCCGGCGTTACCATCCAAACCATGTCGCACCACATCCACGCTTGTGGGGAAGGCGTACATGCCAGCGGGCCAGGCAGGTGCGAGCTTGCACACCACGGTGCTTCAAGCCTACCAAGCCAACCTGCTACAGGAGATGGTTCAGAGGGGGGGTCCCTCCGAGGAAGATCTGGCGGAGCTTCGCAGAACCACGAAGCGTTAGACGCAGTGCGAAGCGTTCCGCCAGTACCTCCGTCGCCGGTCTGGACCCAAGGCAGCTGAGGCTGCCAGGCGTAGGTCCCTTCCCTCTACGAGCTCCTACGGAGAGGAGGGAAGCAGAGTGTCGCTTCTCGGGGGCCCCCCGAGGAGCTGGGGCAGCGAGACGGCGCTCTCACCCTCAGCCGTCTGAGAGACGCGATCTGAGGACCGTCATCCAGTCCCGACGGAGCTCAGGGAAGACCGGTGTAGGGGAGTCTTTCTCCCCTCCCGCACCCCCCCCACCCCCCGGAGGCCGACCGAGGTCCCCTCCGCCGTGGCAACAGGTGATGTTATCCCGCCGTTTACACGTTCAGGACGCACCTGCCACCATCGAGTCCGCACCGTACTGCCTGCCCCGAGGGTCTGCAGACGGACGGCATCCCGACTCACTCACCGTGGATCTTCGGCGGCTCCCCCCTGCCGTTCTGGGGCTTCAGGGGTCCACCAGAAGATCACACGAGACACCGACCACCAGCCCCGAGGGGCTGGTTCCGTTGGCAGACTTTGCAGACGCTTGGCGGAGCCTGACGAACATTTCTCCGCGGGTCCTGCGCACTGCCATAGATGGGTATCGACTACAGTTCAAAGCCCGCCCTCCAAATTCAACAGAAGAGAGGGGGTGGTTTGGACTGTGGTCCGCCCGGAGCAAGGTCCGGTGTTGGGACAGGAAGTTTGTACTCTGCTGAGGAAAGGGGCCGTGGAACGTGTCTCCCCCCCAGACAGAGACTTCATAGTCCCCAAGAAGGACGGAGGGCTGCGTGCCCTATTTTGGATCTGCGGGTTCTAACCGGTCTCTGAGGAGATTCAGGTTAAAGATGCTCATCATCCCCGCCACCGTGACGCACATCCAATCTGAGGATTGGTTCGTCACGATAGATCTAAAGGACGCCTATTTCTAGGTCTCCATCCGTCCTTCTCACAGGAAGTTCCTGAGGTTTGCCTTCGGGGGTGTGGCTTACCAGTATCGGGTTCTTCCATTCGGCCTGGCACTTCCCCTAGCACATTCACCAAGTGTATGGATGCAGCACTGGCCCCGCTGAGGCTCCGGGGCATCCGGATTTCAACTTCATCGACGACTGGCTCATCCTAGCCCAGTCTCGAGAGTTGGCGGTTCGGCATCGAGATGTCGTTCTGGCTCGTCTGCGGCGTTTAGGGCTGAGGCTCAACGCAAAGAAGAGCATGCTGGCGCCCACCCAACGGGCTACGTTCCTAGGGGTTGCATGGGATTCGACAACGATGCAGGCACAATTGTCTCCGGCACGTGTCGACACCATATTGGCTGCCGTGAAAGGGGTGAAGTTAGGCCACGCCATCACTATGAAACACTTTCAACGAGTGTTGGGTCTCCTGGCGGCTGCGTCCAGCGTAATACCATCTGGACTGCTGCACATGAGACCCCTGCAGTGGTGGCTAAGGAACAAGGGTTTTTCCCCGAGGGGAATCCTCTCCGTCTGGTTTGGGTTACGCGCAAGTGTCTTCGTTCCCTATCAGTTTGGAAGGAAACTTGGTTCCTGTCCCAGGGGCCCGTGCTGGGAGGGTCTTGTCGCCGGCTGGTTATTTCGACAGACGCCTCCCTCACGGGCTGGGGCGCGGTCATGGACGGCCGCTTTGCAAGGGGATCCTGGCAGGTGCATCGATCCGAGTGGCATATCAACTGTCTCGAGATGTTGGCGGTGTTCCAGGCTCTAAGGAGTTTCCTGCCCGATCTCCAAGGCCACCACGTCCTGGTTCGTTCTGAGGAGAACAACACAGCGGTGGTGGCCTATCTGAATCACCAGGGCGGTCTGCGCTCGCGCCCTCTGGACAGACTGGCGCGTCAGATCCTCCTGTGGTCCCAGCAGAGGTTACTATCGCTCAGGGCGATGTATTCCTGGGGACACAGAATCAGGGAGCAGACCTGCTGTTGAGGCAGGGGCTGAGGCCCGGGGAATGGAGACTTCACCCCGAAGTGGTGGAGCTCTTGTGCGAAGAGTTCGGCCCCATAGACGTGGATCTGTTTGCGTCTCAAGAGACTACGCACTGCCCGCTATGGTTTCTCTCGTTCCTCCAGCCCCGTTGGGTCTGGACGCCATGGTACATTCGTGGCCGAGGCTACGTCTGTACGCTTTTCCCCCAGTCGCTCTGCTCCCGGGGTTCTGGAGCGGGTCCGCCAGGACAATGTCGGCCTACTGCTCGTAGCCCCGTTCTGGCCAACCCGGGTGTGGTTCTCGGACATCATGTCGCTCCTGGACGGCCCGCCGTGGCGGGTCCCTCTGAGGAGAGACCTGCTGTCCCAGGCGCAGGGCCGGGTTCTTCACCCTTGCCCCGCCATATGGCGACTGTGGGTCTGGCCCCTGAGGGGGCACAGTACCTAGAGGCGGGTCTAACAGCCGGAGCAGTCGAGACCCTCCTGAGCTCCAGGGCCCCGTCCACACGGAGGATGTACGGCCTGAAGTGGAGTGTTTTCTCCACTTGGTGTAGGGAGCGGTCGGTGGACCCTGTTACCTGCCCGGTGGTTCAGGTACTTGAGTTCCTCCAGGACCGGTTCTCTGCTGGTCTTTCCCCTTCCACCCTCAAGGTGTACGTGGCAGCTATTTCATCTTTCCACACCCCTCTGAGGGAGGGGTTCTTGGGGAACTTCCCTTGGTTGTACTTTTCCTCCGTGGTGCCCGGAGGATGAGACCTGCGACTCGGTCCAAGGTTCCCACTTGGGATCTGGCAGTGGTTCTTGGGGCGTTGGCTGAGGCCCCCTTCAAACCCCTGGAGTCAGCTGAGGCTAAGCACTTGACCCTCAAGATGGCCTTTCTCCTTGCTATCACCTCTCTAAGGAGGGTGGGGGAGCTCCAAGTGCTTTCGGTTTCCCCGCAAAGCCTGGAGTTTGCCCCGGGGAATATTAGGGCTATCCTGCACCCTCATTCAGGATACATCCCTAAAGTGCCTTCTTGTGCGGCAGGGTCCACAGTGCTGCAGGCATTTCATCCTCCACCTCATGTGACGGCGGAGGACGGGAGACTTCATCTGCTCTGCCCTGTCAGAGCACTGAGTATTTACACTCTGAGGTCCTCCCGTTGGAGGAAGGCTGACCAGCTGCTAGTGTGTTTTGGGTCTCCCAGGGCTGGGCTCCCTGCATCCAAACATACTATTAGCAACTGGATTGTTCAGACTATTTCCCTGGCCTATCAGGTGCGCGGTTTGCCTTCACCTGTGGCTGTGAGGGCTCATTCTA